GCCAAAAAAATTATTAAAAGTAACATTTTTTCCAGGAACAATTATAATAAATGACTGTTGGAAAGCCAATGACATCTTGGATAAGGAGGATTACGAACATTTAAAAGTAAATCACTTTCTTAATTTTGTAGATCCAGATACGGGTTCACATACCAATACGAATCTAACTTTTTTGACCTTGTAAAAACAATCTACTATCCTAATCTGCTCGTCCTACAATTAATTACAACCAACAATCAACTTAAATCCCCCAAAAGATAACGGATCACCCTCCAAACGATCGACTTAAACAATAGTCTAAATGATTTCGTTTCGTAAAGTAAGGGAAACAATTTAATTACTCTCATACTTAGAGAACTTTCCTGTCTCGGCATCCGAAGCAAACATCAAAATGGCGGGTGTTTACACTCTGCTTAGCAACATGAGCAATGTCAAGGAAAATAACTGCTCATGCGCAATCGCGTCCTTCTGAGAACCGGCATACTAGAAACTTCCATGGAACACTTCAAGTATGCCGGTCCCAAAGTATGGCGCTAAAATAAATGCCGACGAAGGCGGTGTAGTATATACATGTATTAAACGATCGCTCACACGATTTATCGACTAGGGTCACTTAGGGCCAAATCACGGAGTCAATCAGACAGAAAAACAAGAAGCCAAGGGTACTTGATTGATTTTGCTCTTAAAAAAAATTCCCTACAACTTTTTAAATTTATATACATCTCAACAAATTATATTATTTTGGTCCAAAGTGTTTTGATGAATTTATCAAAGCTAATCTATTCTCACCTGGATTTTCAAAACATTTATTTTGGTATAAAACAAGAACATCTTGAACCATGAATTTTGACAAAACGCCATTAACCACGATCTTTTTGGACAAATCCCTATCCTCAGTTGATGTTTGTCAGTATGATATTAAATTAGTAGTGAGTTATGGTGTTTTAAAATGATTGGAAACGATTTATACACAAAAATATATAATAAATGATTGAAGTAAAAATAATTAAGTATCGAATAGGTATATAAAAAAAATGAGGAATTTTCTTGAAAAACCTGAACACATTTATCTTTTATTTTAATATACACATTTATTTGTAGTTCACGTTTCAATTAGAAAATGCATAGTGGGTATTTCAATTTCCATCTCCTAAAACTTTATTCTAGATTTACTTTTTCCCTAATAGAATATTACATTTAAAGACGAAGTTTAAAAACATGCCTTACTTTGAGATTTCAAAGACATTTTAAAAGATATTTTCAATTATTCAGCACCTGATTGTCAGAACCTGATAATTGGATTACCCTAATGTTAAACACAACAATGGTAAAGGTTTTGATTAAAATTGAAGTATTGAAACGTGTGTTTTTGTTTTAAATAGGATACGCTATGTGCATAAAACTTTAGTGCAAATATTTTATTAGATGGCCTGATAATATATTTCATTACAATGTTTAACATTTTTATATAATGGGAATAAAATTTAGAATATGTATTATCAAACATATTAATTTCCTTAATTTCGTATTTACATATATGTTTAAACAAGTACAGACTACTTGGCAGAGAGAGAGAGAGAGAGAATATTCAAGATGAGATTGGACATTTTTAAATGAATTTTTAGTTTAACTTAAAATATTTTTTATACATTGGAATGCTCTGCGTATGAGAGTGATCGCGCATGCATTATCCTTTGAAAGTTTTTCAAAATTATAGTCCTGAAAGGCAAATGCAAATGATTCTTTGAATTGAAAACATTTAGTAAATACCCAATAAAAATCGTGCGCGGTAATAATCTGAACCAGGCCGTCCAAATAGCGTCGCTTTTCAGTTTCTTTTTAGACCTGGTGAAAGTACGAGTGTGTTGGATAGCTTCAATTTTTAAAGCCGCCTCCACCCCGCCACCTTTTCCTTTTTTGAGGAAGTTCAATTCTATCTATATATTCTTTTCTTTGTACCGTTCACGGTAGCTCAGCTCCGTGATCGGGAGGTCGTGAGTTCGCATCTCGGCCGTTACTGACCTAAGTCGATAAAAATGGGTAGCAACTGTTCCTTCGCCATGCGCTCAGCACTTCGAAGTGAATGTTGCGGGTCCTTCGGATGAGACCTGAAAAACCGAGGCCCCGTGTCAGTGGCAGGCGTTGGCACGATAAAGATCCCTCACTGCTCAATGGCCCAGAGTGCCGAGTAAAGGTCAAACTTCACCGGCATACGGTGACGTCTCCAAATGAGTGAAAAATTCTCGAGAGGGACGTAAAACAATATACAATCAGTCTTTTCTTCATTTTAAATGTGTTTTACATTTACGTAGTTTTCGGTTTCAGACCACAAGAAGGTTTTTATATATTATGTAATCAATTACGCCACACATAATGTAATACCTTATATTTTAATACACTTTAATCATATTCATAATTCATTTTCATTCTGTTGTGATTTTTTGATACAGATAATAAGTAGTTTATTAATAATTTCATGGATTCTTGACAATTTATTATATAAAAAATTACAAGTATTTTCTGAAATAAAAGTCACATAAGTGGCAAAGTGCAATATACCTAAGTATCCTGTTGTTTATGAAAATGGAGAGTGAAGGCGATTTTTCGAAATTTTGCGGTAGTACAATAACTATGAGTTGCGTTCACGACAGGAACGGAAATGTTAAAGAATGAGAAGATCCACAGATTAGTCATTTTATCGAAAGACATTTGCATTGGCAATTGTACATAAATACAAAACAATGCTTCTCTATCTCTACAAACAGTTTAAACGTAGAAAATACATACTTCACTATTATTATTATTAACTATGCTTTTCTTTTTTTTGATAGGACAATTTCTGAGGAAATACGTGTAATTACATGCTGACATCCTCCTTTCCCCTCTACATTCTCTATTCATCGATTGAAATGCTTTCATAAAGATGCATTTTCAAGTACAGTTAAGTTTTTCTTTTTTAAAAAAGAGCAGGAAATTATATCCAGCCCGTAGTATTTCCTTTTTAAATTACAGAATATTAATATTTCTTTTTACAATGCAAATCTTTAAAAAATCAAAAAAAAAATCAATTTGTAAAACACAATGGCATATATGCATTATTTCATTTAATGTCTCAATTAAAGTTATCATTTTATTAAGCAGTGTTAAACTACGACTGAATGTAACGGATTAAGCAATTGAAATGCAACCTGTTTTCCGTGAAATACACATCTGAAAAACAACATGTACAAATCTAATTTTTACCTATTTAAAACGATTTTTTTACGCGATTGTGCACGTTAGATTCCCCGAACGACAAAGAACAGAGGTCAGGAATACATATTATATTCATCATTCATGTTTGTCTGTCGTGACTTCAACAGTTAATTATTTAGATCGACCCTATTTTCCAAACGGTGTTTTAGAAATGTTAGATGTTTCATACCTTTGATATTGAACCCCTCTTCATAAGGATGAATAGTTTTTAAAGTAAAGGAACGAATGGCAAGGAATTGGTAAGGGTTTTTTTATATAATTTTTAAATAGTAATTTGAAATAGCTTAGAGTTTTGAATATGCGCAATTTAATTATGGATAAGAGATCATATCCGTATTAAATACAAAGATTGCAATAAGATCCGGAAAATTTTTATTATATGCCTATACAAACGTATTAAACTGTTTTATACTGCGTAGAGTTATTTTTGAACAATTAACTCCTTCATTATCCCATTGACTTTAGACATGCATCACTAGACGAAAAAGGATAAACATTGTTCTATTTTCAATTGAAAGATTTAATCACAAGCCACAACATATATATACAAGCTGTAGGGATTCGGAGAAAGGTTTTCAACAGTTTTCACAACCACAGAATTTTGAACTTAAAGACTGTCTTTGTAGAAAATAATATTTTCTTAAAATTAAGTATTCGATTGCTGTTATATTAGAATCGATTTTTCTTGTACTTTTAGTTTTTAGTGTTTAATCTTAAAGGCATTTTTGTTTTATATTAATAGTTATTGCATTCATATAACTAGTATTTTTCAGACAATATCTTTGGAGAAAAAATAACTACATCTCTTCTGCATTCGATTTCTTTTTTTGTAATCTTTTCAATACAGCATTCAGGATCACATAATTAGAATCAATAAATGTAAACCTGTGGATATTTCTATTAAATTGTCGAACTCCGTTATAAAAAATACCTGGATGAAAATAAATTTCAATAGAAATAACTCATAAAATAAAAGTTAAAATCATACTTTTTCTAATATGAAGCTTTTTTTCAACAATAATTACTAGGAATATTTTTTTTAACTTTTCCTCCGGAGATAAAGTTGAATTATCATTTTCAATCCCATTTCTGTGTCAAATTAAATCATCGGCGCAGGGCATAGAACAGCCATCTACGCAATAGCAAGGGGTCTTGTACTTTACTTTATGAGAGACAAACATAATATGACCTTCTAGTGCAAAATGCATGCACCTCCTTAAATTTATTTATTCTTTTAAATATAAACACTAAATGGATTAACTTTATGTCTCCTATGTTTCTCTACCCATCAGTTTCCTAGTACAAAGGTAAATAGCTATACAGACGTAATAGTATTTTAATTGTATAAATCTCCTTCATCACACTTAGTTTATATGATTCTGCCTCGACGTTTTCAATGTTTTCAGTATTAGTTAATTCATGCGATTTACTTTTTCCTTTGATTTGTTTTTAAGATAAAAAAAAAACTTTTTTTAAAAAAAGAGAAATCATCTCCACATGTTTTTCCCGATCATCTCAATGTTTAGATTATTTTAAACAACAGGATTTTTAAAAAAAAAAATCAAGATCATTGTCTTTATTTTTTTTTCCTTGCAGAGAAACAGGGAAAAGTGTATATAAATATATTTCATTTCGAGGTATATTTTCTTCAAAAACAAATAAAATGCAGAAATAGAATTTCCATCACCGTTTTATTACCCATGATTGCGAAGACTTAATATTTCATTTAATATTGTTGTAGAAATTCGGAACATTCATTCAACATGTTTGGTCTGTTTTGCCTTTCTGTTTTATTTGCGACACACTTCAAAGCAGAATCTCTGGAATGTTCGTCCGACAAAAGATGTATATGCCCAATCTATCAGGGACAACTTTGGGCAAATTGTGAAAACCTCAATCTCACAACAACACCATCTTTTAACAGTGAAGTTACAGGAATAAATCTTGCAAGAAACAACATTTTAAAGTTTCCAGAAAACCTTCCTAGGGGAATACTGTATTTAGACGTCTCCGAAAATATACTGCAACAAATGGATGCAGCGTCACTAGGAAAATATAAGGACCTGAGAAATTTAAGTGTTTCTAGCAATAAACTTAGATCTATTGAGCTTGGAGCTTTTGAGAAGTCCCCAAATATTCAACATCTTGACATTTCAAGTAATCAGGAATTAACTTTAGAAGTTATTGTTAATGTATCGAGTGACTTACAAAATTCTACTTCAATTCGAGTTCTAAATTTTGAAAAATTACAATGCACCTATGGCGTCAGTTTTAATCTCATGAAATATCATACTGTTTATCTCAAGAACACAAAGCTAGAGGAACTGAATTTAGCGTCAAATCGCATCAACAGTCTTGAAACAGGACTTCTAACAGAATTACCAAAGTCCCTTAAACATCTAAATTTGGCGAATAACATTCTGAGTTTTGGATTTTATTTGGCTGAGTTTGGCAGTTGCCCAATGTAATCAGTATAAATGTGAGTTTTCAAGCTTCTTTCCGGCAGTTGCTTACAAAGGAGTTTTTGTCTCGCCTGCGACGAATGTCGCGAAGCGAGACATAGCGACCATAGATTCCGTCGTCGTCGTCGTCGTCGTCGGCGTCCAACTTTTGGTTAACCCAAATGTCAAAGTTTTATAAACTGCAATAACTTTCTCAAATTTTATTTCTTGAAATTTGGACACAATATTCAGTATGGATAAAAATTTATATCCCAAGTATGATTTTGAAAAAAAAAATTCAAATTTTTCCGTATTTTTTCCTTAAGTTGGACTTAGTTTTTTCATGATAATTTATGGTGAAGACCTATATTCCAGCAACTATAAGTTATAGGGATATGATAATTAGTCAGTGGATACATCATGGGTAACCACAAACGTCAGTACCAGAATTAGGTCATCTTGACCTACATTTTTCTGCATGAGTGACTTTGGTTAAATTTTTGGTGGAGGTCCATATCTCAGCATCTATAACTTATAATGGCATGATGATTTGTCATTGTACAGGTTATAAGTAACCAACAACATCAGTACCAGAATTAGGTCATTTTGACCTACATTTTTCTGCATGAATGACTTTGGTTAAATTGATAATGGAGGTTCATATTTCAGCAACTATAACTTATAGTGGCATGATAGTTAGTCAGTGGATACATCATGGGTAACCACAAACGCCTGTACCAGAATTAGGTCATCTTGACCTACATTTTTCCACATGAGTGACTTTGCATAAATTTATGGTGGAGGTCCATATCTCAGCAACTATAACTTATAGTGGCATGATAATTTGTCAGTGGATACATCATGGGTAACCACAAACGCCTGTACCAGAATTAGGTCATCTTGACCTACATTTTTCCGCATGAGTGACTTTGCATAAATTTATGGTGGAGGTCCATATCTCAGCAACTATAACTTATAGTGGCATGATAATTTGTCAGTCTACACATCATGGGTAACCAACAATATCAGTACCATAATTAGGTAATCTTACATTTTCTGCATGAAATGATACATATACAGTGGATTTGATTTCAAAATGCAAGTTCAAATTATTGCGACTCATAACACGTTGCAATATTCGCAATAATAAAAACATCACAATAATTTGTGAATTTACAGGGTATATGTATATATATGAGATTTAACCTACATGATGCATTTGGATCCTACCTACTTTTCTGTTTACCAGTTGGCATATGCAGTGCATTACACATGACTCCAGATATTAATCAAGTAAATATAACTTCAACATTTTAAAACTTTCTTGACATGTTACAATGTATGTAATTTTCAGCAATTGACTAAGAGGAAAATGTTGTGTTCATCAGTATGCAAAAGTTATATATTAAATCCATATAAAATATACCTATAGTCAGTCCAGATAGAAACGTTTTACAGTTCTTATTAAGTCCATGACAATATCTCTTTAAAAACCAGCAAAATGACTCGATCCACTTTTTGAGTTATTCCTTCTGAAATGTCAATAAATGCTTCAGTTTATCAGACAATCATTTCTTACTAACCACAGCGACAGCAGGCGAGACACAGGGTTGCGGGCAACCCTTACGTACTTTTTTATAAACTGTAATGATACCCGAGCTGTCGGCACTAGGCTTGCAGAACATTCTGATATTTTGACGAGAAAGCCTAGATTACCATTATCCTTGAATGTAAATTTCGATGTTAGTGTATATTTGCCACGAAATCTCAAAACACTTTATTTCCACGACAATTTGTACAAGTTCACCATACAGGATTATGTTTTCAAGTCTGCCCATAAGTTGACACGTCTGTACATGCAAAACAATATAATCTACGAATTGAACGGTCCTATTATAGGATTTGAAAGTGTGGAATATATAGATTTCTCCAATAATTTCTGCGGTTACATTTCACCGAATTTCTTTCAGTATTTTAGAAATTTATCTTACCTCAACCTATCCCATAATGCATTGGGTGAAACTTTAGAAATGGATGAGAATGGAGAAATAAATTTTTCAATATCTTCGTATGTTGACCACTTTTGATTTAACTAGGAACAGAATTGTTTCTCTTCCGGATAAAATTTTCCGTAATCTGAATTAATTGGAAAATCTTGATATGAGTTATAATTCATTGAATAAATTTTCGATACCTATAAATCATATGACGAATCTCTCAAATGTAGACCTCTCAAATAATCAGTTAACGTCTTTGGATGCGGACACGAGAAACGCGTTAGATTCCATTTCACAAAGTAGAGAAATTTCAGTGAATTTGAGAGATAACAGATTGAGATGCGATTGTGAAAACTTGGGATTTCTAAAGTGGATGCACTTGTCTAAAAATGTAAAATTTCTGTATTTCCACAATTATTCTTGTGATTTCTTAAATTCATCAAAGGTCCATTTTTCTGACATTGAAAATGTACTTCAGACTTTGGAAAAACGATGTGTGTCTTACGCTCTTCTTATTGTGATTATGACGTCATTAATTATCGTCGCCTTGACAACCGCTTTCAGTCGCATTCTTTATAGATACAGGTGGTATTAAGATATATGTATTATGTTGCGAGGGAAAAGTACAAAGACGACGAACTACGTAACCGGAAATATCATGGAAAAGAATATCACTTTGATGCCTTTGTGTCGTATGCTGAAAGTGACCGACAGTTCGTTATTTCTCTAGTGAAGTTCCTCGAAGATCAAACCAATTTGAGGCTGTGTATACACCATCGTGATTTCATCCCAGGGACAGGGATTGAAGATAATATCACAAACGCCATTCATAACAGTAGACAAACTGTTTGTATTATGACGTCACAGTTTTTAGAATCATATTGGTGTATGTTTGAATTGAACATGGCTCGAATGGAATCTATATATTCCCGAAATGGTGAAAATGTTTTTTTTCTTGTGGCTCTAGAGGAAAGTGCAATGAGAAAATTGCCACTTTCTTTAATGGACCTGATAGAATCAAAATCATATTTAGAATTCCCGGAGGGAGGGGACGAGGAGGAAGTAACAGCCTTCAGATCTAACTTAAAGAGCCACTTAAGTCATAGGACAATGGTTTCAGACACTTAAATGAGGCGAGGTTAAGATGACGAACAGCAATCGCTCCAATAATCTTTTCCAGACCTATTGGTAGCACCTGTTCCAAAACAACATACACTATCATAGTTATGCTGGTGATTCTCAAGCTTACCTTGTCTTTAAACCTAGGTACATGTGGAATAACACTGTTTTGAAACTTTTGAGATAGTGAATGTGCACCAATATGCTGAAACTAAACGAGAATAAAACAGATTTTGTATTTTATAGTTTTTACTCCTATACATCAAATAAAAGAATCTCCATTGTATCATCTGAACTTTAGTTGCACCGGCATTAGTGAGACAAGCAGCGTAAAGTACCTCGGTGTACGGTTTGATAGATATCTCAGCATTCAAAAGCAAAATACGTCCATTCCTCGTGCATGCTACTTCAATCTAAGGAACAATGGTAGAACACGACCGATGATTACAGAGAATGCTTGCAAGATCATAGTCTGTGCACTTGTGGCCTCTAGGCTCGACTACGCTAATGATTCACTTTATAGTACAAATAAAACCGACCGGTCACGGTAGCCTAGTGGTAGAGCGTTCGGTTCGTGATCGGGAGGCCCGGGTTCGATTCTCGTTCGCAGCGCCGCGTCATACCTAAGACGTAAACAAAGGTAGTGACTGTCCCTTAGCCAAGCGCTCGGCACTAGAAGTGAAAGTCATGGGTCTTTCGGATATGACCTTAAAAAACGTAGGTCCCGTGTCACAGTAAACGCTGGCACGATAAAGAACCCTCACTGCTCAATGGCCCTGAGTGCAGAGTTTAGGTCTAAATTTGAAGCCCTTCACTGGCATACGGTGATGTCTCCATATGAGTGAAAAATTCTCAAGAGGGACGTTATACAATATACAATCAATCATTCAAATAAAACCGATCTAGCCAAACAGCAAAGAATATAGCGGAACGTTGTATTACCCGTACCAAAAGGAACATTATTTTTTATTCTTTATTTTTCTCGAGAATTTATTATCGCAAAATGACAATTCAACATCAAAGCGCGAAAATAATTTTTTCTAAAATGGAAGGTTGATCAATAAAATTTACATGGATTTCAGCACAGGAAAATTAGAGCAAGTAATTTGATTTGCAAGCGATGCTTCTCGCGAAATTACACGATAATTAATTCTTTGCGTATATGATTTAGAATGTACAGTACTACCATTCTCAAGCCTTTGCATTGGCTTTTAATTGTTAAACGCGTCCAATACAAAATTCTTCTTTATACATACAAAGTTATTAAGAACATGGCACCGAGATACATTGAAAACCTCACCAACATCTATCGACCTGGACGTTCCCTAAGATCAGCAAGCCATCGGACACTGCTAAGACAGTTAAACCGATCTTCTATTTAGGGCAATAGATGTCTTCATGTGGCTGTAGCATCCCTCTGGAACTGTCTACCTTTATCATGTTTATATTTGCGTTTATGTTCGTCTGTGCACCCTTTCACTTAAAACATCTTTAATCCATCTTTATAGGGAGGCATTTAGTTAATTTTTGTTATATTTGATGAGTTAAGGACAGTTGATACAAATAAACTTTTTAAAAACGAGAATTGTTGCATAAATAATCATATATGTGACTCAAGTTGAATAATTTATTATTATGATAATTCTTTCGCTTGATTGTATTTTTATTTTTTGCTGTTTTTTTTTTTCTTCAATATTTTGTTTTTAATAAAGGATATCAATCCCACATTTTTATTTCTTGTGTCATTCAACATTACCTTGATTCCTGATAATGTTTCAATATTTTTATAATTGTACATGTATTCTCACTATGTTATACAGTGCTTTAGGGTGATTGGTTATTTACTATATAAGGCGCTTTATAAATACTGTATAAAACCGGTAGTAAAAAAATTATAAAAACCTAAAACAACATAATTCTGTGAAAGGACTTATATATAAATCTCTGGAAATTTCAGAGATAAAATCATATTTTCAAAAGGAGTGGGCACCCCTGTTGACCGGTCGGACGTGTAGAGAGCCTTACATATACAATAATAATATGTAAAATTCTGTTTAAAAAAATAATAATAAAAAAAAAACAAACAAACAAATAAAAAAAAACAAAAAACCGGCAATTGGTGAAAAACAAGTCAGGTAAAATACAACTCAGTGATACAGTGGCTTCAACGTTATTGCTGACAAAACAACCGTGTAGAATCGTTCGTGTATCGTGCGAGATCGTGCGTGTATCAGACTCAATCGTTCGGAGTTTTAATCGTGCGTGATCGTGCGTTAATAAACTTTCAAATTTCGTTTTGTAAGATTTAAGGTCTTCCGTATTAACGGAAGACCTTATAGTTATTTTATTGTTACTTATTATTTTTTAAAGTCTTTTTTTATCTATATAGAAAAGAAAATAGTATATACTTCTTTAAATAATTACAAAAAATCAATTCTGTACCGATTTTATCAACTCTTGAAGAGCTTCTGATAAACCGTTTCTCGCCTATTTATTTATAATTTTCCTCCAACGACTGGCCTATCAAACAAAGTTAACTTTCGTATATGCATTTTATTTCACCTTTGTTGGTAAAATATTTTTGAACAAAATATAGTGCGACTTTTTCTTTGCCGAAGTAGAAAGTAATAAACTTAAATCATCTACTTGTGAGTGACCATTGACCCGTGTACGGTGTTAACTACGTCAAAATCAACGTCATAAATGGGTAAAATGACGTAATATTAAATTGAGGGAATTTTCCCCCCAATATCATTATTATTGAAACAGAACAGAGGCATGTCTCTGTACAGAGTTACACGTACTTCTATCTAGAAAAAATAATAACAAGTTCCTAATCATTTCCTGCAAAAAACGTTTGTAAACCGAATGTAAAATCGGATCGTGTGACCACACCACCAATCGACTCCATCCGATTTAACTGAGCACGTCGAATGAAAATCGGATGAAAAATTGCATCGTGTGACCGCACCTTAACAGATTTCATCGTGCGTTAATCATGCAGAATCGTTCGTGTAACGTGATCGTGCGTATAAGTTGTCAACAATAACGATGCAGCCAATGTAGGTTAAACAGAATTATAAAGTAAATTCATAAAAACGGCGCTATATTTTTTTGACGAAATGCTGACTTCAAACGAAAATGTTAAAATCCTTGTGACATTAACTTATGTGCGAATAGCCTGTCTCCTAAAAAAAAACGATTGTACTCATCAGAACAAGCTTTTAAGGACAGATAATACAAACCATTTTTTTCTTTGAAAAAGATTTAATATCATGTCACAAGTTTAGAGAAGTGGATGGTTCTTAGAATTTTTATTTCTATCAAATGGAATAGGAAAAAGACTTGGAAAATATTAGTAATATTTCAATGAAAAAAGAAATATAGACAAATCACATTCAGTAAAGGTTTACAGGTGAAAACAAATTTCAGAATATGTTATAATGGTGCTAAAAGTGTAATATAAAGTTAAAAAAAATATACCAAGTCATGTGAATTTTATTAGGAAAAGCTAAATAGTAAAAATCACCCTATGTGATATTGCTGATTTTTGTCATTTTGCTCTTTCTCTTAAAATTCACCTGACTTGGTATATTTTTCTAAAGTTTATATTACACTTTTAGCATCAAGGTAACATATTCTGAAAATCAGTATAAAGTAACATCACAAACATTGACTCACTGTCTAAAACACAATAAAGATAACAAGAAAGATAAAATAATAAGTACGAGTGACTGATGGACAAAAAAATCAAAACATATTTCAACCATTTCCTGGCGCAGGAAAAATTATGTTTCATTTGGCTTAAATGTTTTATAATTCCTCGGAACATTCGTATCTAACTCTATAGAATTTATGTCTTGTCTTTCTGTTGATTCTGTGTTGTCGACAGGATGGTACCCTGTGGAATCCTCATGACATCTCCTTGGGCAGCAACACCTAAGCTTATACAAACCAAAGAAGATAGTGTGGCTGATCGGAAGGGCAACCAAAACCTCTAGGAAAGAGAATCCCAAAGCACTGCCAAATCTATTCCAATCTAATACAGGATATAAAGGCTCATTGTGTCCTAGTAACTGATAAACCCCATTAAATATCAGATATATTACGGCGAACAAGGCAGGGTAACACACATGCCAAAAACGTACAGGTTTGTCAGTGATAAAAATGTTCAGAACTGTGAACACAGAATTAATCATATGTTTGTTAATACTCCTTGCATGCATGTCTGAAAAGAAAAAAAGACTCTTACATCTGTACACGTCTTAAAACTTTTTACTCAATACATTTATACAAGACTACATATACCTGTGATAAACTCTCTATATAGTTAATACTTACTTGCATCCAAAAATGTATAGTATGAGAATGTGATAAGAATTGAAGATGCGTTCATTATGTTGAAAATCACCCACACTAATTTTAGATAAATGCACATCGAGGTTGAAGGCGTGACTGGAAGAAATTTCGGAAGTTTTAGAATTTACGACAGCTTTAACTTTTTCATGTGTGTTTTTCGTTTTCTTTGAACCAGCCTTTTAAACTCATGGTAGTATTATTACCATATTTTCTTAAATATTATTACTAGTTATATTACTTAAGAATTTACAAATATGTTGTTATCAGTTTATACCTTTTTCATGATAAAATTACCTGATCCATTTCTCCGCAAATGTATATATAGAGAGAAAGAGCAATCTAAAGCAAAGTAGATAAATAACACGGAGTATCCCCAGTTTGTAAGGAAAATGAACCAGGACTTATTGTCTGTTTGGTCTGTTATTTCCCAGTAAATCTCCAGTATCATCCATACAAAGTGATACAAGAAACAGAATGCACTCCAAAGGAGGTACACGCAATCAGGACAACTCTGTAATGCAAACAAAAATACGCTGCAAAAGATTTTTAAAAAAATATTTTTCCCCGCTATTTTTAGATGTAATACGTTTTGAATGCGTTAAGTTCTTGTGATTTTAGAATTAAATTACAAAAGTTCAATCACAATAAAGGTTCTTTACAAAATTTAACAAGGAAAATTACAGATTCTTTAACAAAACAATACTATAGATTTCAAAGTGTAAAAGGGGTAACATAACTATAGTAAATCAAATCGGTCACCATATTGTCAAAGTTATCACTTTATATGTAGTAAATCAAAGTAATCACTTTAATGTCATAGTTATCAGTATAGTAAATCAAAGTTTTTACCAAAGTAAATCAAAGTTTTCATAGTGATCACTTTGCTAAATCAAAATTTTCAAAGTTATTACTTTAGTAAATTAGACCAATGTGTATTATAATTAAGATCATATAAAGAACAATTATAAAATAAATCTTAATCTATACATGTAAGTATAAAACTATCAAGAGTATTTAATAATAATTGTGCATAAAGTAAAATTGAATAAATTACACGACGGTCTTGTAAATTTTTCGGCATACGTCTGTATTTTTATTCATGTTTTTTTAAAGTTATACGTGATATTTTTTTAAATTCATTTATTGTTGTTATCTATTCATATTGATTTACTTAGTATAACAGCACATGATGTATACATATCAAATAAACAGGTCTCAGTTAAATACCACTATTGGCGTAAATAGGTAAACTAATAAAATGATAATTTGATTTTTAAAAATCGTGCTAATCATCTTTCTGGCAAGATTATTTTCTATTAAAACACGTCCGAATTCGGAAAACAAAGACAACACTGTTTTTCTACCCATTTATTCGCAGGGCTTACTGTCACTGTCAGCACCGTAATTGCAGTGTAAAAGCAAATAACGACGCCCATCGAATAAAAGTTGAGGTCATTTTTCGCCGTCAAAATTCTAATATTTGTTTTTCGACGGCGGACCCTTTTGCCTGTACAAAAATGTCCTCATGCACCGAAAAATTTTGAATATCAAACATGAAGAAAAATGAACCCGTAGAATAATGACCCCTTGTGAATTAAGGTTAAAATTTTTGGGGGCATAAAAATTCAGGGACCTACTGGCAAAAAAGCTCATCTGAGCTACATTGGGAATAAATTGATAATTTGTTGATCTCATTACATTATATAATTATTACTATTTTAAGGTCAATACGATAATTCAGAATCTTGGGGAGCAGAAGATTTATCTATCATAATTGAAAAATTAAAATTGTTTTTCAATGGTGGAAAATCATTTTACTAACAGCAAAAACAGCAATAATTACTTTAATATCTGATCCAGTGATTAAATTAATAAATACTGATTAAGCAAGCAGAAATCTCAAGTTTGTTGTTTACATTTACTCAAGTCCTAGTCAATCAAGTCAAGAAATAGGTGTTAACATTAGCAAAACCATGGTCCGTATCAATTTTACATTTGAAATCTATTTTTGGTGCAATGAAGAAAAAATAATAGCAAATATCGGGCTTATATTGGAGCATTATAAGAGTAAAAAATGACAAGTTACCATAAAATATTTTTAATAAATCCGTCAAAAAGTTTATTGATTTAAGGGGGGATTGGTTTTACTCTACTGTATCAAAATTTAGGGCATTCACACTTGCAATGAACAAATTAAAATTTACCTTCGTGAGAGTAGAAGGAGAGGACAGCCCACCTTATACCTGAATATCGTTCAATTTGTCCATTCAAGTAAAAGCTGAACTTTAGCTACTGTAAACGTATTGCATTTGGCTGTGTATTCTTTTTAGCGCCTTTGGTGGTAAGCAACTTCCACTAATTCAAGAACTACGCTAATTGTCTTGCAAATATACTCCTAAATAGGAACATGATAAAATGCTATTAATTAAATCTATGCTAGCCTGTCGAAAAAATCGATTTCCATCAAATATTGTACAGTCCAAAAATCATACATTTACAATATACTGTATAAGGGGTGATAACAAGACTTTCAATGAACAATTTCCAGCTAGAAAATGTTAAAGTTTACATTCAGAAAAAGGGGACAATCATACACTCTTCTCCGAATCTTTTTACCTGAATATTATGTAGGAATAATGAATCATAATGTTCACCTGGAAAGTCAATTAAATAGTATTTTGACAAATGCATCACTATTTAAAGTAGATAAAATAAAAAAATATTCTTACATGTATGTATCCTATATTCTCAGACGACCATGTTAACAGACTTGAATGCACACTATACTGGGATTCTTATTATTCTTTTTTATATTAATATGTTGACGGTGCGACCGTTAGAGCGAGCGCAAACTCTTCTATTGTTTTAATTTAGATCGGGCTCGTCAAACCGCACGTGACATTTGGTGCGTTTAGACTCTGACGTCACATGACGTCGTATGTAAGTTACAATACCAAAAAAAAACTGAACAGTGCTGAAAGTTAATGAAAAAGTTACGTTTACTATTTATCTTCAATATGTATCCATTTAATAAAGGCGAGTAAACTTTTTGTTGAACATTTGCCGTCATTCTCGCGAGAACGCAGCTTTACTAAGTGATGCATTGTGGGTCAAAATTACTGTGGCAAAAAATTCTAAAGAATGAATGTGCAGTAGTCCGAATTTTCTCTTCGCCCAGGCGTTGTCGTTAGAGCTCGCAGTTACGAGCGTCGCTTCGCGATGCTCGCTGCGCTCGCTATTATTTGAAAGAACATTCCCTTAATATGGGGAGAGGAGTATCAGAATTCCTTCAGTACCATTTCCCCCACACCTTAACACTTACCCCTCTTTGACTTCATTGAAACATGAAGCTGTTGAAAGTGAAGAGGATTAAACCTATGCCCTAGTGTTCTATGCCTATATTATGTCTATCTTTGCAAAATGTGGGGCTAAGCCCCCCCCCCCCTCCCACACACACACACGTTTCAGACACTTATCTTTCAGACAAAAAGAAATGCCATGTCTGCTTCATATTTGGACGTTCTAATGACTCTATATACACATATAACTATAGACGATATTCACAATTTTGCCAAAGGTCCACATGCCCAAAAATTTATTTTTACAATACTTCCAAAGATATGTGGTTTACAAAGGTAAAACTTTTACAGTTTAAAAATATCTTATTAATTAACGGATAGGGAGTATCACTTGATAACAAATAGTTAAAAAAAAGAATACCTATTGAGAATTTAAAACATAATGCACGTACTTTTACAAAATACATTCAAGTACATCCGAACTTTTAGTGAAAGTTATCAATGCAGAAAAATTATGTTTATCAATGAAGTTCAAGTCAGACTTTGATGCATGGCCTCTGGGAAGTTGTTTTTCCTGTTTATTTTGCATAAATGTTAAGACTTGAAACCGAAAGTGCAATGCAAATGGCGGGTTTATTATGGGTCTTGTCTTTATATATATACCACGCTTTCAATACCAACCAAATAACAATTTTCAAATAACAACAATCAATTTCAGAGACCACTCAAGTCCAACTTTAAATGACCTTGAAATATATTCATATTTATTGGAGATATTCAAATAGTGTGTAACGAGAGATGATTATCTCAGTTATAAATTAAGATTATTTTCTTTATAAGTAATCATTACCTGAGATCGAACAAAAGCATTTGGCGTATCATATTCTAGTCCAATTTTTTCTCTTAAATTCTCGCATGTCATTTTTCTTGTTACCCAGAAATAATTTTCCCAAGCTGATCAACAATGGAAGAAATTCTAAAACAATTGTCCATTGTGTGAAGAAAGAATTGTGCTATGGACTCCAAATTTAAAAGGTTTGTTAAAAGGACACAATGAATGAAATGCATGTCTTTCCTAAATTAAGCAGTAGTTAATTAAAAAAGATTGCATTGGGGTCTATAGTAAAAAGCGTTTGTTTTTTTTTTTCAAAACAAAGATTCAAATAATTTGAATATCAATAAATCCTGCGGTGGAAAGATGCAGTTGAATATTAAAAGTAGAATGAAATATTAAAAGTAGAATGACAATTCAAAACAGTTTTTACCGGCTAAATTTTTTAAATTTATTTCTTTATTAATAATAAAGGGGAGATAACTCTAACCAAAATTCAAGGTCATAAATTAGGATACATCCCACTACACATACTAATAGTGATATATGGGAATTATGTCTAAATAAAACGAGTATACAATACTGAATACAAAAACATATCTGTTATGCATTCAATTTCATTAAATTTGTTCTTATTAAGGATTGAATGCATTAGGTCTGTCTCTCACTACTCTTTAGTACATATATTATGAATGTACATAACAAAGAACAAGAGCCACGAAGCATAAAAATCCGCACCATCTTTAAAGTTGATAATTTTTTATCAAATGATAGTCTAGTATGTGTAGGTCTAAAAACAGTTTATTTTTTAACAATTTCTCTTCTGGTTTTCTTTTTACATATGTTTAAAATAAGCATTGTTTTCCGAATGAAATGCTAACACTTTGACGTCATGGCATTAAGTTTGATTATAGGAGATAACAAATTTACATTTATGGAAAGTAATCCACCAAAATAAGATTTTAAATTAAAAAAATACAATTTAATATCATTTATTTATGAAAGCAATATGTACCACGATAGTAGTTTACGTACTCATGCATCTCTTTGGACCTTTCCGGCAAGGTTCTTTTCCGAGCTTGCCGGAAAGGCCCGAGAAGTTGTGGTTGTAATGGAGATCTGTAGATACAGGAGTGAAGCTTTTCCTTTACATTTTTATTTTAAATGATTACAGGAGACAAAAATAAGGGGAATTATATTCAATATAAATGGCATGAAATAATCCTACTCGGACGTCTTGGGATCCTGGTAGACAAAACATAGGTGAAAACATATATAACGAAAGTATTGAAAGGTGCTTCTTTCATGTCTTTCCTGATCTCATCCCAGTTTGCCTTTCTGTACAATGGTATTAAACGAGGTCGTTGTTGTATTCTAGTTGGTATGATGTCTACTTCTACAAACACTACATCATGATCTGAAATACCGGGCATGGTCTCCAACCTGTTGACAATAGATGGATAGTTGGTTACCACTAAGTCAAGTGTGTTTGACTTCTTGTTGGATTTACGACCAACTGTGATAGTCCTAGGTCATCAAGAGTCTCTAAGAATTCATTGTGTATCCTCGTGTACTGTGTTTCAGTTTTGGTGCTTTTTGTTTACCAATTTATGCCAGGAAGATTGAAGTCCCCTGCTGATATAATTATAGCATTATTTACCATGTAAGATCTTTTCATACTTTTGTAATAACTTAGGAAACCTTCTTCATTACTGCATTATACCGCAAAAATACATCCATTTTATATATACGAGGGTCAATCAAAAGCTCGTAGACATTTGTCCTAACTTTTTATTTTAATTCCATATTATACACGTTATATCCAAATTTAGTACACATATTTTCACGTCAAATAATTGTGCAAAGAAATTGGTTATATCTTCAAATTAATAATAATTATCAAAAATTTAGCACAGCAAAAATAGGGTCACAGAAGAACTTTAAATTTCAGAAATATACCAATTTTCACTTCATAGTATCTATTGCCATACTTCTAATAACTGGAGCGGAAACAAAATAATATTTACAAATGTACATGTTTGAAAAAAGTCTTGCTGTATTACTTAAAGTGCAATCAAGTGATGTATTATATCGCTCCGTTTACAAGATATCTGTTATATACATATGGACTTGATTTAAAAAGGCGAAAATAATGACGTTAGATGAGGTAACGGAGCTGCAAGTAGCAATAAAATTTTGCTTTGCATTCGAGAAACTTTTTAAACATACTTTGAAATTCTGTAGAAACCAGAAAATGTATGAAAAATAATCTGTGTACGAACAGTGTTCAAAAAGTTCGCGAACTATCTGTATATCTACTGAACTATCTCTATATCTACAGAACTATCTCTATATGTACAGAACTATCTCTATATGTACAGAACTATCTCTGTATATCTGCAGAACTATATCTATATCTACAGCACTACTGAACTATCTCTATATCAACTGAACTATCTCTGTATATCTACAGAACTATCTCTGTATATGTACAAAACCACAACTCAGATTAGAAAAAAAATTAAGCACAGACATAGCAATACATAAGTCCTATAAATAGCATATGGTGAATAACGTTTTCCTTCTTGTTGTGGCATCACAATATGAAAATGACCTCAAAATGTAGGTCACGAAAATTGGCTGTCTCCGTCCTAATTGTTCACCGAACGACTGTTAATTTTATCTGAGAAATTCCCTTGCAGTAGCGTATAATAATCTGTACACATATTATCAAGACTAAAGATTTCCTACAAATACAATCAATGGTTAGATGGATCGATCGTTTTAGTAAAGGACACCTAATTATTAAAATGATATTGGTTATGTTGCCCAGTGAAAGCAAGTTTGAAAAGAGATTTTGTGACAGAACGCTACGGGGGGGGGGGGGGGTCACGTGACCGTCTGTATCACTTGATACTTGTATCACTTGTGTACGAGCATAAAATGGTAGATCTGCATTAAAATCGGAGAATAATCAACACTGAAACCAAATATTGTTTAACATTGTTTTTTTTATTGAAGTTATTCAATTAATTCGCGAACTCATGGTCATGATCGTGAAATAACGAAAACAAATCCGTCCTCAATTTAGTGTGTAAATAATGGACTAACAATTGGTATGAAAAACGTCAGTCAGCATTTGACTCAATGATAAATTGTATTTGCTGACAAGGTCATTGTATCGACCATAGAACTTACGAAATGATGACTTCAAACGATACTGCTGATATTCTTGTTTCATCAACTTGCTTGTCAAAAATTAACCTCGTTATAGAAATTGTTCGTACGTAGAGCATGATCTTGGGTATCGAATCAACTTAGATATATACACTCCGTATGCAGGTGATGAAGGTATATTGCTGCATAAGTAAGGAAAGTTGACGATAGAAAAGTTAACGTCGTTACGTTTATCATATAACTTGTTTGTTTGGTTACCATTAACGTCTTTTTCAAGTAAAATATCCATGTATGAAACAGAAGTGTCAGGGTCTGTGGTATCTTTTTTCTCAAGTTCTCCTGGATATAGAAAACACTGACAATATAATTCAAGCTATCTGCACAATTGTTAGAAAACTAGACATATAGGCATATAGTGAGAGCATAGGAAATCTGCGTAATTTTCTACCCGTGGTATAAACAAAAAAAGATTCCGTGGATTTCTGGTCCCATGAAAAAAGTACGTCTACTGTATTAAAATATTTTGATTTTTTTTTTATTACAACAGGATATAAATGGAAAAAGAATTCACTTGTTCTCCAACTTATTCATTAAGTACTTTTCAATGGAAGAAATCTTTGTTAAAGAGAAGGGGAAAACTCTTAAATCATACATATAACTTTTTTTTCCTTGAAGAAGAAAAGCTTTATAAAAACATTTTACAATACAAAATTACATTAACTATTGCAAGAAGATGTGCTCTCATCTTTGGTAAATTTATATTTAATGTTTTAAAGTTGATCGTCGTTGGGAAAAAATGCAAATATCAATTTGATCAAACAATTACATTTACAATTAACAAAAATCTTTAAATAAAGACACAATAGAACATTTTAAATAATTATATATCTACATAGACAATATATTTCATTATATTTCCAAATAAAGCCAGAAGTAGCTTCTGACGAATTTATCATGGGTCTTAAAATGTTTTCTCACAAAGAAATGGAAATCCTGCCGCACAACTCCTGGCATACCAAAATCCTCGAGAGCAAACAAATTCAAGACAATCATTGCCTGATAAATAGTCGTTTGGTTCCTCTTCATCCCAGTTGGTGAAAAGCATAGCCTTCTTACTTTTATTCCATATAAACAGGCCCTCTGTCTCCTTATCAGATCCTCCTGCCCAGATAGACCCGCGTCCTAGACAAAGAAGATTTAAGGTTTACGCAAGGTACCTTATCTACTGATAACTTTTCAAAATATTATTTTTCAGTTTAAGATAATGGTGCCATCAGAAGCTCATAGACAAAATTTCAGCGTGCATTACCAGGGGTTTTTGAAAAGATATCACATCATGAAATTGATTGTATATTGTTTTATGTTCCTCTTGAACATTTTTAACTCATATGGTGATGACACTACTTGCTGGTGGAGAGCTACAGATTTTGTCCAATGATTTTTATTGAAATCATTGAATTAGTATTTCATCAACTTATTTGTCACTAGTTTTCCACTTCTAACTTAAGTAGCGAATGCTTTTGCTTATCGAATCAAAATACTCAATAAACGGTTGACAATATATAATACACTGAACGAAAGTTCCAGGTGTTCACCTAATTTTTTTTAAGTTTTAAAGAACTATTGCATGCAATAAATGAATTCTTTAATTTGTGGTTAATGATGCATATTCTAGTTCGATGTTGCGTAAATTTCATGTAAGTATCTTGTCAGAATTTTAAGCAAAGTTTCAATGAAATGATGTACCCTCAAAATGAAAAAAAAATCATGCAAAATAATCTCTAAGACAACCACTCTCTCTAATTACTGCAAGACATGCTTTACTGTTTGATATCATGTGCCCCTGAATGGGAGATTGCCCCATCTGCTACCACACCTACTGCCTAGATATTTCCAAACCGTTGAAATTGTGTGGAAATAGGGGGGAGGCTTGACATTTCTTATAAAAAACCCATATGTGTTCAATGGGATTCATTTCTGGGAATTTTGCAGTACATCATCACACAGAGGCTTTTTGGTCAATAACCTTTGTGTTTAGCACGTAAGTATACCGCTTTAAGGATGCTTCAGACTGCTTGAGATGATATTAGACTGCCACGAGCACCACTTTCTTATCATTTTCATAGGTTTGAAATTATTTGATTTTATACTTCGAAGATTGTTTAAGGACAATTTAACACTATTTTAACCTGGTTTGTAGCGAAAATCAGACGAAGATTAAGGTCACTTTCGGATTGGTTAATTTTCGTCCATAGCTTTCAAATTCAAAAGCGATGAAAATGACGCAAAGCCTATAGAAAAATGTGTTTTAATGACTTTTGACATTGGTTGTTTTTTCTTAAGTTATATCAAGAACAAATAAATAAAATTGAGTAAAACGTGGTACGAGAATGATCCAGATATCAACATTCCAACGGCCCTCCCTTCTTTCGCAATGGTCATTTTGCCGATGTTTTGTGTTTTTTAGTGAAACCAGTTTTTGAAATTTGATAATGATCACAAAAGATGCTAATTACACAAAACATGTGCCATAAAATAGAGATTTATTGTTTTTAAGCTTCATCACGGTTTAGTTTTCATCGGATGTATTTGATTTTCTTTCAATAATTGTTGAGAACACTCATTTCTTGTAATAATTTGAAAATGTAATACCATTCTATAAAGTAGTTTTTAAATAAATACATTTATTTGAGTGAACACTTAGAAGTTTTGTTAAGTGTATTGCTACATAAATAAGAAAAGGTGAATACAGAATGGCTGGAGTTCTCACGCTTATCGTAAAGTTTTGTTGTTATCTCAAAGTTAAACATATCAGTCCATTTTCAAAGGTATCATTCATTGTCATTTCAAATCATCACTAAACATTTGTTTGGCAATTACATCAACCTTATTCAAAGAAATCGACGATTGACAGACATAACACTCCATTGTAAAAAATACCAAATCATATTTAACCATATCATATATTTGTCTACATTACCATTGTAAAACTTGCACACCCTACACATAGTGCGAATGACTGATGTGTGTTTACCTGCCGTTTTATTTTGAATCCATTTGTTCTCCTCAGCTGACTCAATCTCCACCAGATATGCTCTTTGACTTTGACAAAGATACCAAAATAACAAAAACGTTTGTTAATTAATATGAGAAGCACATTTCTTTCTAAATGGTTTTACCTGTCATTTTAATGAAATTTGTGGGGTATCGGTGTCGCTTTGTCGATCGTTTTCTGACCACTTCTTTCGACACTTTTTAATTGTCCTTTTGTGACAGATTAAATGTCTTTTACACAAAAAATCTCTACAGTTCATTAAAACTTTAAACTTCCCTTGCAACACCATAGCAATGAATTTATCAATCACAGTTTTGTGGTGTTAATGCAGCGCTATTAAACAACACTCCGCGACAATCATTTCACTGTTCATTACACTGAACAGTGACTAAGTGACCGGCTCTATTTATAGGATCCGCAGATGTAGCGAGAGATCGAACAAATATGGCGGACGCATTCTTTTTTCCGAATCGTGTTCAGCTTTAAGTTTAATGTCATATGTGCATGTTATTTTTCTAGAAGCCTATTTTAATCCTCGTTTTCCATAACATATTTGACAGGACTTACCACAGCCTCGTCCCACTGTCTGGCTGTCTTGTGGATGAAGTAGCAGTGGTCTCTGTATTGTACCCAGCCCTCATCACAGGAGGAAATATCTTAAGATAAAATAAAATGTAGCATAATCTGGTTGTTGAAAATAGGCTAGAGATGTATCTAATTAATATAACTCTAGCGATACAAAATTTACACGGATTATGGTAATTGTTGTATGGAATCCTAAGGAATATGTGCAAAAATAGCACACTGTCTCGCTTAATTACACAAAAAATAAAGTTCTCGCGAATAGAAAGTGATTAACAATACTTGGTGGCAAATATTCGCGGACTGCCTACATCTTACAGATTCGTAAAAACGTATTCTGAATTCGTGCATTCTCTAATTCCCATAGAAGCACAGTTGACTGTAAATATTATCATAATTTGTTGTTTATCGTCCCAATCGGGAAAATTTCACTTATAAATGGAGACGCCATCACCTGCCTGTTGAGAGCTGCAAATATTGTCCTTTGCTGGGCACTGAGGGCCATTGACCAGTGTGAGATCTTTTTCGCTCCAGCACCTACTGCAACACGGGACCTCGGTTTATACGGTCATATCCGAAGAACCGGTCTCTACGTCACATAGGATCAGCTCCCTATTTCGGGATTCATTTTTTCATAAAAACACTGCCTCAAAAGGTATGACATATTGTAAGTGTGGTACTTTTCCACGTTTTTTTTCTTGAGAGTTTCGACCTCTTAAAAGTATGTTACACACAAAACTACAATAAAGAAACTAAAATACCAGATTGGTTTTCATCATAAGATTAATTATAACAGACTAAAAAAATATCCTTAATGTTGCTTCAACCTGTGTCTCTCAGACATCAAACGCCTTACCGACTGAGTAACTCCACATTGAAAGTAGTAGTATAGACTAATTATCAAAAGCAAGACTTAAACCATCCGAGTGATAATGATTCCAAGAAAAATTGACCTGATAAGATTTAATTCCGGATTACCGTATATATTCACCTATAAGAAGGTACGCCTAAAACAGACTCACCCGAAAACTTTGCTTTTAAAAAAATTGACTAGAAGGCATTGGAGGGAAGAGAGGGGACGATGAAAATAATTCAGATGTTAAAAATAATTTTTCGTATGAGTGTTGTGTGTGATGGGAGTGGTGGTTTTTTTTTTATAGGTTTTTTAGGTAATTCCTATACATATACCAAATTAAAAGTGAAAAAGTAAGATCGGACAAAAGATGATAACTGATTTCATGTATTATTTCATAACCGGGAACTCCAAACCTATGTAACTACTAGCATTTTGTTTTGTTTCTTTTTTTTTGGGGGGGGGGGGTTGTTTTTTTGTTTTTGTATTTATTTTGTTTTGTTTTTGTTTTTGTTTTTGTTTTGTTTTGTTTTTTTTTTTTGGCTTTTTGCTTTCAAAAAAGAAAAATGCTATGTTGTGGTGACTTTAAGTCTACCTTATTTTTTTTTTTATAATAATTCTGTTTTTTTTTTATTATTACGACAATTATACGAGTGTCGATCCAAAAGTAATGTCACAGTGTCCATATCTTTTATTTTTGGTGCCATATTATCTAATAAAATATATCAAGAGATGCATAGATACATGTATAAAACTGATTAAATTTAAAATTTTAATTTAAAAATGTTAAATTAAATTTGTTCTATGGATGTTTAAAGCACAAAACGTAGGGGGAGTCGCGCGTTAGAAATAAACGTCACGTTTTAAAGTGTATATTCTTAAAATGATAAAGACATATGTACAAACACATTTAAAAAATATATTTAAAAAAAACTTAATCACCAAATATGATTAAAGGCAAAAGAGTGATATATGGTAAGTGTCTCAATTGGCCCCTTAAAATGAACATCTTAATTTTACTTTTTATATAGCTTTAATTTGTACAGCGATATATGCGACCTTTATTGGTCATTTTCATTTTGATCAAAATGCGGTTATTTTAGAAATATGACATCATAAATATCACGTTTTCCCGCCATTTTAGCATATTTTGTATAAAACTGCTTATTTTCAAGCAGTTTTTCTTCAAGAAAATATAGAGCGCAGCCTAGAACATGATTTATATTTTTACCAAAGATGTATCCATCCAATACTAATTAGTGACAGAAAAATTATGTATGTTCTACACTGCGCTCTATGTTTCCCATAAGAAAAAAACATCAAGAAAAAGGCATATTTTTGGCTTTTTTGCAGGATAGCAAAAATAGCATTATTTCTAATGTCATTTACAGCTAGTGAGTGCATATAAATGTGAAAAATATATTGGAAACATTTCTAATATAATCTTTTCTACGAAATAAATATCAATTAAACATATCTGAATGTCATTCTAAAATGTTGATTTTTAGGGGGCCAAAACTGGCTCTTATCATATATACTCCTTTAAATCATTTTGAAGTCTTTAGTTAAAAAATTAAATGATATGTTTGCTATTTTGTATCATGAACATTGTTGTTTTACTTTGATGTCCAATTGAAAAAAAACTCCTCAACGAGCTGTAACGCATTCTTGCTTAAAAAACTGGGAAAAGGCCAGTAGAGACAGTCTTACAGAGGAAAGAAAGTAAAAAGGGACTTGTTTATAGATGGTTTAAGCGAATTTATTTGGGAAGGGGGGATGGGTCATTGAATGATCAGCAGAAGACAGGAAGACCGAGCGATTGGAGTTCGTGCGGAAACGTTCAATGGTGTCTGACGTTGTCAAGGTCACGGTTAAAGCAATATGCGTAACTCTAAGTTATGATATTGTCCAAAGAATTTTGACAGAGGACTTAATTATGAAAAAGAGTGTACGATGGGTATATCAAGAATTCTAAAAGAAAGGGAAATAATTATGTAAACGTGTTTGTAAAACTGTATCTTAAGTATTTTTTAAATGAAACACAGCGGGAAACATTTAAATGTAAGATGGCGCGTATCCGTCGTATAACGTTATTTAGGTGCGGCGACTACCATAATCGTACGTTGTATATATAACTTGATGTTTTGAAAAGTATAAATCATGTTGATTTTAATTTTCTAGGTCAGATTTCAAATTCTTTGAAAATTTTGTTGTTTTACGTCGACTAGTATCAATTTTATCGCAGCTGTGACATTACTTTTGGATCAACCCTCGTATTAGACTTAAAATGTAAGGAATTTTTCGGAAAAGTTTTGATTATTAAAAAAAAAAAATTGGGTACTAGATTTAATTCTGCTGATTTCTGAATAAATATCATTATCGGGTAAACAGTTAATTAAAAAAATCATGAAAAATATGCATATTTTAAAAAGGAACTTTCATCCATAGCGCTTTTGTTTGGGGGCTTTATGGCAAGCAATGCCTCCTAGCTCTTTTTTTTTTTGATTTATATATATATATATATATATATATATATATATATATATATATATATATATATATATATATATATATTATATTTATATATATATATATAATTGTTATTAATAATGATATAAAGAAAATATGTGCACGATATTTAACTTTCAATTGATACATTGTTTTCCTCCAAATGCGACTAAAAAACTAACAAATGGACGCATAACATTAACAATATAGTATATAATAAAAGTTTTTTTTTTTTAGAAATGAAAGAATAAGAAAGAAATTCAATGGAATGCAACTAAAGCGTACAAAATAAATGAGCATAACTGTTAGAAATTTTTCATTGTAACTGATTTTAACATATTCATGGTAATAGTTATGTTGATTTTTGAGTCAATGACGTTTAATTGTATAATTTTAATTATAAAACCTAAGTTATTGTAAGCTCATATTCACCTGAGAAAAAATTCCAGCCCGCTTGTTCAGCATATAAGACGTTTTCATTGCAGTTTAGTCTCAGTAATTTACAAGACTTAAGGTCTTTGTTATAGAACACGCCGGCACATACCGTCATCGAACATCTCAGTGAACACTCTGTAAGTCTTGTATCCTCTAACTCGGAAACGAAGCAGTTTCCACTTGTAGGTAACATGCCACTTATATAAGACATTGACCTTAACTTCACTGATTTCACGTTTGCTTTACATTGCATGAACTCTATGGATAGAACGAATATAAAGCGAACTGGTATCCGCAGTGCTTCGTATGCCATCGTTACTGAGTGATGTTAATTTCCGCAAACTCTTCGATAAATATTGCTCCTTATGATATACACATCAGAACTGTGAAATATATATTCAAATTTCTGTAGTAAAATACAACGATTGTCCATTTGTTTTCAGCAAGACAAAGGTTTGCCAGCAAGGATCACAATACATATACATAATTTGTAATATGGCTTTTAAAGGACATACATCTAATTATGTATTATGGATAACAGAAAACAAAAGGCAAAAAATACATTCATGTTAATATATATAATGCAAAGCACTTGCTTAACACGGTATACAACTCCATTTTTAATGATGCTTTTTTGAAAATGTATTATGTGAGATGATACTATATGAAGCAATTTTTTAAAAAAAATCATTATTGCGTTCGTGCATTTCTAAAGATTTATCAATATTTTTTTTTCTATATTCATAAAGAAATTGACTGCGCGTATGACTATTTACAAAAAGGGGCTTAGATTTCGTGTTTATTTATTCATAAACACATACATACGTAAGAAAAGTTTTTAATCACCTTGCAGCGGAGTTAAAAGGAAAATAGTAACTCAATTGTGTGTGTTCATTTGTGGGTTAAAAGTTCTGTGCAAAACGGTGTGTATTGGCAAAAATGTCTGTTTAACGTGGTTAAAAAAGAAATTATCATATTTTGGTCAGAAAGCTTCTTTATTGTTTTGCTGGCTAAAAAGGCAAGGATTTCTCTTTGACAAAGCAAAAATTCTTCTTCTCCGAGCAAAATGAGCCTGCAAATTACCTTTCTGTTGTAAATCCTAGGGGGTGGGAGAGAACTTTGTCCCAAATGGCACCTTAAATCAAAAGCAGTTCAGGGCCATTTAATTAACATCCAAGCCAATAATATCAGCAGCTATTCCTTTGCACCACTTCTCTTAGCAGTTGATCTTCCGAAGGCAGAGTTTGTTACAAAAAAGTACTCTTAACAATTTACCTTTTTAACAATTTTATTGGTAATTAATTTGCTTAAGATTAAAGTCCTCCGTCCACTTTCATGATGTTTCGTAAACTTTCTTTGTATTTTATTATGCAAATGTTCATTTTTTAAAACGAAATCTGATGGAATATTAATAAAAGTTGTATATATATAGTTACAAATCAATTGAGGTATCATGTACATGTACTAAAGCCGGACTACAAAAAGTATTGACAAATAGTAGCAATAAAAAACAACAATTTTTCAATATAAATAATTTAATTCTGGTTGTAACGCTGTATTTGATTGGATAAAAATTTACTTTATATCGTATAAAATGGGTTGCCTACGTCAGAAAAATGTGCGTCAAAAATTTCCGCCTGACGTTACATTCAAATTTTGTACAAATTGAAGTCATTTTGTTAGAACAATCATCTTTTTTTCTTACATCAAATGAATGAAAATTAAATTATAAACAATGAATTTAATTAGCTACCCATTTTTACGGTATAAATCTTGAAATAGATTATGCAAAATTGTTTTTTATAAACCGCTTCGCGGTTTATAAAGCGTAAACTGCCCCAACCCATTTTATACCCATTTTTTATACCGTATAAAATGGGTAGCTATTAAATTCATTCCTTAAATAAAATGCTCTTTGTAAGAAAGAAAGATTTAAATAGTGTTTGATGCTTTTAGAACTGTTTTTATCCTAATATAACTATAAATGCTTTATGAATAATTATATGATTTATAATATATTGTTTAGAGCTTATCTTCGGTTCAGAGGGCAAATATTACTATAATTGACTAGAACTCTCATAAAAAGAGGACATACGTGCCCTAAAACCTTTTGAAAATAAGCCGCGGCTTATTTTAAGTTTTGATAAGAAACTGGGGACTGATTTTGAAAACCGTCTTATTTTCAAATCGCAGCTTATTATCAATACAAAAAAAACTTGTAAGCAACAAGGATATAAATACAATTTTTTATCAATAAAATAAATGGTAATCGATAGTTTGAAAACTATACTTGCTCTTTCTCAAAATAGAATATCAAGAAAAACTTACGTAAGAGCTAAATGAATAGTGTTTAAATATCGATATTCTGTGCGCCCGTTTTTAAAACGGTGGGCTTTTAGCAAAGGAGACTACTAAACGTAAATTTATGTAACAAGAACAAGCTACGGAAAGGTTTTTTATATTGTGAGAGTTACTTTTATTAGTGGAAAAGTTGTGGATATAAATGCTTTTTTTGATTTAAATACACATAAACAAATAATATTATTTTAGTCATGTGTTTTGATAAATTTATTAAAGCTAAACTATTCTCACTTGGATTTCCATAGCTAATATTTTGGTATAAAACAAGTACATCTTGAACCATGAATTTTGACAAAACGCCATTAACCACGATCTTGTTGGACAAACCCCGTATCCTCAGTTAATGATTGGCAGTATGGTATGAAATTGGAAGTGCTTTATGGTGTTTTGAAATGATAGGAAACGATTTATACACAAAAATACATCATAAATGATTGAAGTAAAAAGAAGTAGGTATCGAACAGGTGTTAAAGAAAATGAGGAATTTTCTTGAAAAACCTGAACACATTTATCTTTTATTTAAATGTTTACATTTATTTGGTGTTCACTTTTCAATTAGAAAATGCATAGTGGGTATTTCAATTCTATTTCCTAAAACTTTATTCGAGATTTACTTTTTCTCCTTATAGAATATTAAATTTAAAGACGAAGTTTAAATACATGCGTTACTTTGAGATTTCGAAGACATTTTAAAAAGATATTTTCAATTATTCAGTGCCTGATTTTTAGAACCTGATAACTGGACCACCCTAATGTTCAACACAAAAATGTTAAAGGTTTTTTTTAATCAAAATTGAAGTATTGAAACGTGTGTTTTTTGTTTTAAATCGGATACGCTATGTGCATAAAACTGTAGTACAAATATTTTATTATATGGCCTGGAAATATATTTCTTTTTAATATGTTTAAAATTTTTATATAATGGGAATTAAATTTAGAATATGTATTGAACATATTAATTTCCTTGATTTCGTATTTACAGATATGTTTAAACACGTACAGACTACTTGACAGAGAGAGAGAGAAAGAGAGAGAGAAACAGAATATCAAGATGAGGTTGGACATTTTTAAATGATGTTTAAGTTTTAATTAAAATATTTTATATACATTGGAATGCTCTGCGTAAGAGAGTGATCACGCATGCATTATCCTTCGAAAGTTTTTTTTTCCAAATTATAGGAAAGGCAAATGCAAGTGATTTTTGGAATTGAAAACTTTTAGTAAATACCCAGTCAAAATCGTGCGCGGTAAAAATTTGGACCAGGTTGTCCAGATAGCGTCGCTTTTTGGACCCCGTGAAAGTACGTATGTGTGTTGAATAGCTTTAATTTTTTTAAGCTGCCTCCACCCCGCCACCTTTTCCTTTTTTGAGGAAGTTAAATTCTGTCTATATGTTCTTTTCTTCATACCGTTCACGGTAGCTCAGTCGGTAGAGCGCTCGCTCCGTGATCGGGAGATCGTGAGTTTGCATTTCGGCCTCGACTGACCTAAGTCGATAAAAAAAATGGGTAGCAACTGTTCCTTTGCCATGCACTCGGCACTTTGAATAGAAATTTGCGGGTCCTTGGGATGAGACCTTAAAAACCGAGGCCCCATGTCAGCGGCAGGCGTTGGCACGATAAAGATCCCTCACTGCTGAGTGCCGAGTAAAAGTCAAAATTTGAAGCCCTTCACCGGCATACGGTGACGTCTCCATACGAGTGAAAAATTCCCGAGAGGGACGTTAAACAATATATAATCAATCTTTTCTTCGTTTTGAATGTGTTCTACGTAGTTATCGGTTTTGTACCACAAGAAGGTTTTATATTATGTAATCAATTACACCACATATTATGTAATAACTTAAATTTTAATACATATTACTCATATTCATAATTCATTTTCATTCTCTTGTGAATTTTTGATACAGGTAATAAGTAGTTTAACAATAATTTTAAGGATTCTTGACAAATTATTGTATAATCAATTAGAAGTATTTTTTTATAACAAATGTCACATAAGTGGCAAAGTGCAACATATTTAAGTGTACTGTTGTTCATGAAAATGGAGAGTGAAGGCGGTTTTTCGAAATTCTGCGATAGTACAATAACTGTGAGTTGGGTTCACGACATTAACGAAAATGTTAAAGAATTAGAAGATCCACAGATTAGTTATTTTATCAAAATGAATTTGCAATTGTACATAAAACTACAAAACAATGCTTCTCTATCTCTACAAACAGTTTATACGTAGGAAATACATACTTCGAATTCACTATTATTAACTAAGCTGTTCTATTTTTGATAGGACAAATTCTGAAGAAATACGTGTAATTAAATGTTGGCATTCTCCTTTCCCCTCTATTTATCGATTGAAATGCTTACATAAACATGCATTTTGAAGTACAATTAAGTTTTTCTTTTTTAAAAATGAGCAGGAAATCATATCCAGCCCGTAGTATTTCCTTTTTAAATTACAGAATATTAATATTTATTTTTAAAATGCAAATCTTTAAAAGATAAAAAAAATTCAATTTGTAAAACACAATGGCATATATGCATTAGTTCATTTACATGTAATGTCTCAATTAAAGTTATCATTTATTAAACAGTGTTAGATTACGACTGAATGCCACGGATCAAGCAATTGAAATGCAACCTGATTTCCGTATAAAACACACCTGATAAACAACAGGTATAAATGTAATTTTTACATGTACCTATTTAAACCGATCTTTATTACGCGATTGTGCGCGTTAAATTCCCCAAACGACAAAGAAGAGAGGTCAGGTATAAATATATTCATCATTCATGATTATTTGTCGTGACGTCCACAGTTAATTATTGAGATAGACCCTATTTTCCAAATGGTTCTTTAGAAACGTTATATGTTTCATACCTTTAATATTGAACCCCTCTTCATAAGGATGAATAGTTTTTAATGTAAAGGAACGAATGGCAAGTAATTGGTAAGGTTTTTTTTAATAATTCTTAAATAGTAATTTGAAATAGCTTAGTGTTTTGAATATGCGCAATTAAATTATGGATAAGAGATCATACAGTGCTGCTATCCCACAAGTTGACATGGGATAGGATCGGATAGGATTCAGGATTGAGGATTCACGATAGAAACATATAGAAGTTAATCCAATCCTATCCTATCCAATCCTATCCTGTATCCTACAGCCAATCAGATTCGAGCAAAGGTTTATTCATATTTCAGAATAAATTACAAAAACGAAATACAATATAAAATGTTTACAAAAGAAATATTTATAAATTTTTCAATAGAAAATAAAACATTCTTTTCTCTTAACACATATTTACAATATAAACTTCGAGTAACACGGCGTACGATCTAACCGTGAACGATCACCGGAAGAATTCGGAGTGTAAACAACGAAGAGTCCAGGCATCGAAAGACCGTATTTCTTCAGCTTGTTTGGATGATTTAACCGATTCTTACTTGTGTAAAAGTGTAATATCATGTTTTTCTGTTAAAAATGCTCTGTTTTTTTGGATAATGCCACAGGAACAGTCAGCAGCGGACTTGAATAGATGATGTGCGATATCATATAAGTATACTTCACACTGTACACAGTACATGTGTGCATTTTTATACATATTTATCCTTTTGAACAATGTTCTCATGTCTTAAACTATAAACATTTTATTCTATTTAATATAAACAAAAATCGGGTGCGGGAAAAAGAAGAAGTGTAGACAGAAGCGCGGGGGAGGGGGGGGGGTAATATTTACAAATACTCTGTCATATGATTCAAACAGCTATCAATGAGCTCTAAGACTAAAACAATCATATGTATTATGCCTAAATCAGGTGGTTACTCTTATCATTTCCCTAATAAGGTCAGAAAATAGTTGTTTTTTTTTCATTTCTGTGTAATTAATAATAAATGAATGTAGAATCATCATGACCATTTCTAATGCTTCTGCTTAAATGTTTAATGAGCTCACTAAGCAGTGCACTTATATATTGTACATGTATGTATGATGTATTGTGAGTTATGAAACATAAGTTAATCTTTTCATTTTAATCATTACAGAAAATGGATTGTCTGCACTCATGCGTCATCGCAGTACGAGGATTTCAACCTAAAAAGTATGTATGATTTTATTTTTATCATGTATTTTTACATGGTCATAAATACATAAACATCATTATCTGAGTTGACGTGACATGTCTGCAGTTACTCGGAACAAGTGATTTTCTTCTTTCAAAAATATTGAGAGTAAAACTGAAAGAAATGTTGAATTTTTCTGGTCATCATGTTATAGTATCATAGATTTTCACATTCAAATTTCAAGACCAAAGAAAAAAAAACAAGAAAAAACATTAAATAGATAAATGCAAGCAGAAAATAGAGAAAAGTCACTAAAACAAATGTATTCATACTTGTTAGCAAGTTGACAAGATAAAATGAATTATAATGTACAACATGTACAAGTAAATTATGTTGAATAAGATTTTTTTTTATTTTATATGACTGAGATTGCAGTATAAGATTTTATTTTTCATTATTTCTAAATGCATTACTTTTGGGAGAGAAAAAGGTGAAATTAAAACCAATTGTACATGAAATGTGAAAGATAATCACAATCAAAAACATTTTAAACATGTTAAATGTGTATGAAATGTGTATGACAAAATTTACAATCAACATGCCTATAATTTCATTTTTTTTTTTCAGGAAACCCTGCACATTTGCAGCTGTACAGAATGCAGTTCATGTCATATGCTGTTAGAGTAAATGATGAAAGATGTTCAAACCAGTGTCACTGAGTCCTAAGTCTGAAATCATGGTGTTTTTATTAAGGAGATCAGTGTGTTTTCTGTGCATTGTTGACATTTGAAGAACTGTTCGGTTTATGACCATCTCTCTGACAATAACTCTGACATTTGAATTTCAATTTGAGCGACGGTAAAGAAAGCCAAATTATATGCATGTGAAACATTTAACAAGTGTAATAAAAACATTGATAAACTTTAATTTAAACAAAGTTCATGTACATGTATCTGTGATCTTTGCATTGAAATTCATAAATGCTGTACATGGATACTTTTAATGACTGTCTCATTGTAATGGAATATTCAATTGTTAAACATTGTTGAGGAATCACCTTGAATAAAAATATTGTGAACTTGATAAAGTATTTTTCCTCATTTAAACACTGAAAATTTTAAGATCAAATGTCAAGGTCAAATACAAAGTTTACTCAAGAATGTGTTATAAATGCTGTAAGTACTGTGAATTCTTATGCATGTTTTGTAAGATCTAAGGAACATGTGGAGCATTTTAATATTTCTCAATCTGACACTGATTAACATTCAAGATCAAATGCCAAGGTCAAATATAAACTTGTTTTACTTAAGACTGAGTTATACATGTTAATAATGTGAATTCTGAATTTCTCATGCATGTTTTATAAGATCTTAGAAACATGTGTGACCTCACTATGATATTTATTAATGTCAATCTGTCAACCAATATCAAATTTAGAAAATATATTCTATTAAACATAAATTATTAAATTTTCACACATAAAAAAAAATTGAAATACATTTGTACGGTGTTGTGCTGACCATAAACTGAGGAGAAACTGAAGTGAAATGAAAAAAAATAACAATTAGATTATCTTGAATTTAGCAACTATATATTTTGCATGTTTGAAAAATATCACATGCAATATATGATGAACTGAAATTTAAAAAAAGAATAAATTACTGAATTCAAATAAAAAAAAATCATACAATTAATATTGATATAATAAGACAATTTCACATTTAAAATGTTTAATAAGTGAAAGTCAAGATATTCTAGATCTACATTTGACTTGTCTGTTTGGTTTATGGTCTAGTCATATCTTTTTTTCAGAATTGCATACAGAAAAACCTGTTACAGAGGCACAGTTAGACTAGATCTATACATGTACATGCATGTTATTTTCATGGTGCTCAGTTTAGGAAAAAAATAAAATTTTACATGAAACATATACTTAAACATTATTACCATATAGGCATATGATTTTTAAAAATAATTAAATATGACACGTCGGACGTAAGTCGCGGTCCCGGGTCTCACGATCATTGTTAGTAGGAAATTTAAAACACTAAGTATATATTTCTTTAATTCTTCTGGTAGGCCAATTTCTTTTCATATGTTTGCAAAATCAGTATTTGTCCATGTGTAATTACGATCTGTTTGTTAACATTATTTTTTAACATGGTTATGATAATCGTAAATTTAATTTGTGCGGTCAGTCGAGAATTATGGAATGCCGATCTCGATTATTTTTCTCCATTAAAATATATAACATTTAAATGAATACCATAACTATATCTGATTTTATTTCATTTTCTGGTAATTCCCTTTTTTTCGTTTTGTCAAATTAATTCCTTAATATTAAAAAACTGAGAGTTGCAGGATAGGATAGGATAGGATTAGACTGAAATCACAGGATAGGATTGTGGATGCAGGATTCACGATAGGATAGGATAGAATTGTCAACTTATAGGATAGCAGCACTGTATCCGTATTAAAAACAAAGATTGCAATAATATCCGGAAGATTTTTTTAAATGCCTAGTCAAATGTATTAAACTATTTAGTACTGCGTAGAATTATTTCTGAACAATTTAACCCCTGAATTATCATAATACGTTTGACTTAGACATGCATCACTAGACGAAAAAGGATAAACATTATTCTATTTTCAATCGAAAGATTCAATCACAAGCTACAAAAATACAAGCTGTAGCGATTCGGAGAAAGGTTTTCAACAGTTTTCACAACCACTGAATTTTGAATTTTAAGACTGTCTTGAGGTAAGCGCTCTTTTCATATTTAAATTCATATGTAAAAAATAATATTTCCTTAAAATTTAATGTTCAATTGCTGTTATATCAGAATTGATTTTTCTTGTACTTTTGATTTTGAGTGTTTAATCTTAAAGGCATTTTTGTTCTTTATTAATAGTTATTGCTTTCATAAAACTAGTAACTTTCAGACAATATCTTTGATTAAAAAATAACTACGTCTCTTCTGCGTTCCATTTTTTGTAATCTTTTCAATATAGCATTCAGGATCACATAATTAGAATCAATAAATGTAAACTTGTGGATATTTCTATTTAATTGTCGATTTCCCTTATAAAAAATACCAGGATGAAAATAAATTTCAAAAGAAATAAGTCATAATATAAAAGATAAAATCATACTTTTTCTAATATGAAACTTTTTTTCAACAATAATTACTAGGAATATTTTTCTTTAACTTTTCCTCCGGAGATAAAGTTGAATTATCATTTTCAATCCCATTTCTGTGTCAAATTAAATCATCGGCGCAGGGCATAGAAGAGCCATCTACGTAATAGCAAAGGGTCTTGTACTTTACTTTATGAGAGACAAACATAATATGATCTTCCAGTGCAAAATAAATGCACCGCCTTCATTTTATTTATTCTTTTAAATATAAACACTAAATGGATTTGCTTTATGTCTCTCCAACCATCCGTTTCCTGGTACAAAGGTAAATAGTTATACAGATGTAATTATATTTTAATTGTTTAAATCTCCTTCATTGCACTTAGTTTATATGATTCTGTCTTGACGTTTTCAATGGTTTCGGTATTAGTTAATTCATGTGAGTTACTTTTTGCTTTGATTTGTTTTTAAGATAAAAAAAACCTTTTTTTAAAAAAAGAGAAATTATCTCCACATGTTTCAAAAGCTTCCAATTTTTTCCCGATCATCTCAATGTTTAGATTATTTTAAACAACAGGATTTTTAAGAAAAACAGAGATCATTGTCTTTATTTATCTTTTTTTTCTTGCAGGGAAAGAGAGAAAAGTGTAGATAGATATATTTCATTTCGAGGTATATTTTCTTTAAAAACAAATAAAATGCTGAAAGAGAATTTCCGTCACCGTTTTATTGTCAATAATGCATAAACTTAATATTTCATTTAATATTTTTGTAGACATTCGGAACATTCATTCACGATGTTTGGTCTGCTTTGTCTTTCTGTTTTATTTGCAACACACTTCAAAGTGGAATCTCTGGAATGCTCGTCCGACAAAAGATGTAGATGTGAAATCTATCAAGGACAACTGTGGGCAAATTGTGAGAACCTTAATCTCACAACGACACCGTCTTTCAACAATGACGTCACAGGAATAAATCTTGCAAGAAACAGCCTTTCGAAGTTTCCGGAAAACCTTCCTAGCAGAATATTGTATTTAGATGTATCTGAAAACATACTGCAAAAAATGCATTTAGAGTCACTGGGAAAATATATCGACCTGAGAAATTTAAGTGTCTCTAGCAATAAACTTAGATCGATTGAGCTTGGTGCTTTTGAGAACTCCAAGAATATGCTACATCTTGATATTTCAAGTAATCAGGAATTGACTTTAGAAGTTATTGTTAATGTATCGAGTGACTTACAAAATTCTACTTCAATTCGAGTTCTAAATTTTGAAAAATTACAATGCACCTATGGAGTTAGCTTTAATCTAATGAAATATCATACTGTTTATCTCAAGCACACAAAGCTCGAGAAACTGAATTTGGCGTCAAATCGCATCAACAGTCTTGAAACAGGAGTTCTTACAGAATTACCAAAGTCCCTCAAACATCTAAATCTGGCGAATAACATTCTGAGTTTTGGATTTTATTTGGCTGAGTTTGGCGATTTGCCCAATGTAGTCAGTATAAATGTGAGTTTTCAAGCTTCTTTCCGTCAGTTGCTAACAACAGAATTTTTGATAAACTGTAATGATACCAGAGCAGTCGGCAATAGGCTTGCAGAACCTAATGATATTTTAGCAAGGAGCCCTAAATTATCATTATCCTTGAAAAGAAATTTCAATATAAGTATATATTTGCCACGAAATCTTAAAAGCCTTTATTTCCACGACAATTTGTACAAATTTACCCTACAGGATTATGTTTTCAAGATGGCCCAAAAGCTGACACATCTCTACATGCAAAACAATATCATCTACGAATTGAACGGTCCTATAATTGGATTCGAAAGTGTGGAATATATAGATTTCTCCAATAATTTCTGCGGTTATATCTCACCGAATTTCTTTCGGTATTTTAGAAATTTATCTTACCTCAACCTCTCCCATAATGCATTGGGTGAAACTTTAGAAATGGATGAGAATGGAGAAATTTTTCAATATCTTCGTATGTTGACCACTTTGGATTTAACTAGGAACAGAATTGTTTCTCTTTCGGATACAATTTTCCGTAATCTGAATAAATTGAAAAATCTTGACGTGAGTTATAATTCATTGAATAAGTTTTCAATACCTATAAATCATATGACAAATCTCTCAAATTTAGACCTCTCAAATAATCAGTTAACGTGTTTGGATGCGGACACAAGAAACGCATTAGATTCGATTTCACAAAGGAGAGAAATTTCAGTGAATTTGAGAGAAAACAGATTAAGATGTGATTGTGAAAACTTAGAATTCATCAAGTGGATGCACTTTTCTAAAAATGTAAAATTTCTATGTTTCTATAATTATTCCTGTGTTTTTTTAAATTCATCAAAGATGCATTTTTCGGACATTGAAAATTTACTTCAGACTTTGGAGAAACAATGTTTTTCTTATACTCTTCTTATCGTGATTATGACGTCATTAATAATCGTTGCCTTGACAACCGCTGTCAGTCGCATTCTTTATAGATACAGGTGGAAATTAAGATACATGTATTATGTGGCAAGGGAAAAGTACAAAGACGACGAATTATGTAATCGCAAAACTCGTGGAAAAGAATATCACTTTGATGCCTTTGTGTCGTATGCTGAAAGTGACCGACAGTTTGTTATTTCCCTTGTGAAATTCCTGGAAGATCAAAGCAACTTGAGGCTGTGTATACATCATCGTGATTTTATTCCAGGGACAGGAATTGAAGATAACATCACAAACGCCATTCATAACAGCAGACAAACTATTTGCATTATGACGTCGCAGTTTTTAGAATCATACTGGTGTATGTTTGAACTGAACATGGCTCGAATGGAATCTATATATTCCCGAAATGGTGAAAATGTTCTTTTTCTAGTGGCTCTAGAGGAAAGCGCAATGAGAAAATTGCCGCTGTCTTTAATGGACCTGATAGAATCAAAATCATATTTAGAATTCCCGGAGGGAGGGGACAAGGAGGAAGTAACAGCCTTCAGATCGAACTTAAAGAGGCACTTAAATCGTAGGAGAACGGCTTTAGATTCCTAAATGTTTCTGAGTAGTAAAATTGTAATCCAAAAGACAAAAATTGAAAATAAAAGTAAAATACGATTAAACGATTCTCTCTCTCTCTCTTTTTTTTCTTTTTTCTTTTTTTTTTTTTTTTGTTCATGCTTATAAATTGAATGACCGAAGACAACAATTAGCTTGAAGTTACTATCTATTTACTGCAATGTCATCATGTATGAATGAAAATAATGAAGATAACGAACTGCAATCGATGTAATAAAAACTATAGAAAGACAGTTTCGTGAGCTGGGCATATACACGTACCCTCATTAATTCTAAAGGTATATATAGGAATTAGATGATATATCCCGCAGGGTATGAAACAAGTCAGTTAAGATACAACTCAGTGAGATGATGTACTGTATTTGTAGAATATTACAAATATAAGGAGATCCCGAATAGTGTTCAAGCTCAAAAGGCCTTTCAACAATACTAATTATAGCAGACCAAACACGGACCTCCAAAAGAGAAGAGGTAGGGTCAAGTACCATAGGCAAGTGAGCATCCCCTGCCGACCAGTCACAACCGCTGTGTGCTCCTTATATATCGTATTGTGACATAATAATCACAGAGGCAATGATATAAAATATTCATTTTTGCTGCTGAATTCAACAACCTGGTGCTTATTTGAAAGCAGTTTCCCCCATAAATCAACACAGAAGAGACTACAGTGAAAACCAGTAGCATCCGATTAGAGCTTACATCTGCTGTTGTCCTGATTTTTACAAAAAATTATAAGTTCAACAAATAAAAGCTAAATTATTCTTACTTGGATTTCCAAAAGTACGTCATTAACCACTATCTGATTGGACAACCCAGTATCCTAAGATAATGTTTGTCAGTATGATATGAAATTAAAAGTGATTTATGATGATCTGAAATGATATTAGGAAACGATTTATACACAATAATACATTATAAATGATTGAAGTAAAAACAAGAAACCAAAGTATTGAATAAGTATTAAAAAATGAGCATTTTTCTTCAAAAACTTGAATACCTCTTAATGTTATAATCTGAAAGGTACATTTATTTGTTGTTCACTTTTCGTTTACAAATTGCAGTGTTTATTTAAATTTCCATTTTCTAAAAAATTATCAGAACCTGATAATTGGACTGCCATAAAGTTTAACACAACAATGTTAAAAATTCAATTTAAATTGAAGTATAGAAACGTGTGTTCTTGTTTTAAATCGGATATGCCATATGCGTGAAGCTGTAATGCAAATATTTTATAAGATGGCCTGAAAATATAATTTATTACAATATGTATACAATGGGAATAAAATCTAGAACATGTATTGTCTTCCATATCGTTTTCCTTAATTTCAGATACATTTACACACGTACACCCTCCTTGGCAGAAAGAGAGAGATAGAGACAGGGGGAGTATTCAAAATGAGGTTGGATATTTTTAAATACAAATTAATGCTTCCTTGCCTCTAGAAACAGTTTACACAGAGGAAATATATGCTTCATAATTATTAAAATACTAAGATTTCCTATTTATAATAGAACAAATGTTGGTATTCTCCTTTACACTCTAATCCATCAATTGAAATACTTACATAAAGATGCATAATTATAAAGCTTTCACAGTGAAGATTCATATTATACATGAATATGATATATTTTGCAGCTTTTTGAAAGGAACATGTATTAGTATTTACCAAAGAGGAATAGTATTAATTGTATAATATAAATTACATGAGAGAAGAAATGAAAGCATGTATTGAATGTAAACAAATTTATTGTACAGTCTGTAAATGTGAAAGCAAAAAAAATCTATGAATGAAAAAAAAGATGCATTATCAATTACAATTAACAAGACCGAGTCTAATTTTAGTGCGCATAACCCTGTGCAGCTTTTTTTATTTCATGCAGTCATTTGTGCAACAGTACTCCTTTGCCAAGTTTTTTTTTATTTTAATACAGAATTAACATTATATGTAACCCTACAGGTTTGATTGGTTGATTGTATATTGTTTAACGCCCCTCTTCAGAATTTTTTACTCATGTGGAGACGCCACCACTTGCCGGTGGATATCTGCAATTTTTGTCCCATACTCGGCACTCAGGGCCATTGAGCAGGGGGGATCTTTTTCGTGCCAGCACCTACATGTACGACGTAAGGATTGACTCCTTACTTCGCGATTCCAGAGCAGACGCTCTAACCATGCGGGTGACCTTACAGGTTTGAAAATGTGATTGTACGTATGAAGTAGGGAAACGTTGAAATGGCTCTAATGACGTCACCATTTTTCGATTTTATAAGAAATGTAGACACGCTGTAGAATAACACATGATTCGCTTGTATGTTCAAGACGTCCATGAATATTATGCTACAAACAGATGGCAGAACATTCAAAGAAACATACTACCAATCTAAACATTGCTATTTTTACCGGAAAATCATATGCACCTATAATTCATCTCCACTGATATGTATTTTTATATGGTAATTTTAGAAGTTTTGGGCTTTGAAAAAAATTAACTTAGTAATTATATTCTTAGACCAACCTAGATTATTACGATAACATTCATATATTTGAATGGAGAAGAAATCTGTACAGGAGAAACACAAAAAATATTGGGGAAAATGTGTAGTTTGCGCTTTTACAACGGATTTCCATAGGGTCCAATGGTAAAATTTGACAATTTTTCAGATGGCCCCTAAGAAATCAAGATAGTAAACATTCGAGCTATTAATCTTAAAAGAATAAATACAGCAGTAAAAATTAATTATAAAAAATTATCAAAATCCCCGGGGCAGGGATAATTAAACTCGACTTTGTTAAGTTAAAAAAAAAAGAGCAGGAAATCATATCAGCCCGTAGAATTTCCTTTTTTAACTACAGAATATTTTTTTTTTCAATGGAGTTTGAAACAAAAAGTTTAAACAAAAACAATTTCTAAAACACAATGGCATGTATGCATTAGTTCATTTTATGTCACAATTAAAGTCCTCGTTTAATAAAGCAGTGTTCAATTTGATTGAGTGCTATGGATCCAGCATTTAAAATACAACCTGATTTTAAGTCCATATGATTTAAACATCTGATGAACTACAAGTCTAATTTTTTATTGAAAACGGTCTCATTTTTACGCGATTGTGCGCGTTAAATAGAAAGAAGGTAAGATGTAAACATTATATCTCAATTCATCATGATTTTTTTATCGTGACGTCCACAGTAAACTATTTAGATCGACCTTCTTTTCAAAATTGATATTTTGTTTTGATATGTTAGATGGTGCCAACGTTTAATTGTAAACTCCTTTTCATAAGGGTAAATAGTTTGTAATTTAAAAGAATGTGTGCGTGGCAAGGAAGCAAAATCTTTATTTCATTGTTTTTTAATAGTAATTTTTTAAAAATATGTTTTGTTCAGTGTATGCGCAGTAAATTTATTGATAAGAGAACAAATCCGTACAATAACAAAGATTGCCATAAGATCCGGAAGATTTTTTTAAAATGACTATACAAACCTATTAAACTGTTGAATAATGCGTAGAATTTTTTCTTTAAAAAAGTTTAAGCCATTGACTATCATCATACGTTTGACTTTAGACATGGATCACTAGACGGAAAAGGATAATCATTACTCTCTTCTCAACTGAAGATTTCAATCAGAAGTTAGGGCATATACATACATGCTGCATATGTTGTAGGGGTTTGGAAAAAGGTTTTCAACACAATTTTCACGACCACTGACTCTTTTAAATTTTAAGATTTTATGAGGTAAGCGCCTCTTACAATATCACTTCTGCATGTATATTTTCTGTAATCTTTTCAATATAGCATTCAGGATCTCATAATTAGAATTAATAAATGTAAACCTGTGGAAATTTCCATTTAATTGTCGATTTCCCTTATAAAAATACTTGAGGAAATAAACTTTTAAAGAAAACACTCATACTATAAAAGTTAAAGTCATACTGTTTCTATTATGAAACTTTTTTCAACAATAATTACTAGGAATATTTTGTTTAAAACTTTTCCTCCGGAGATAAAATTAAATTATCATTTGCAATTTCATTTCTGTGTCAAATTAAATTGTCACCAGGACAAGGAAGTTTAAGGAATAGTAAAGGGTCTAGCACTTTGCTTTATGGGATACAAACATATTGTGACCTCCAGTGCAGAACGCATGTACTGCCTCACTGAGTTTATTCAATCTTTTAAATATAAACACTAGATGGATTTACTTTATGTCTTTCCAACCATCCGTTTCCTAGTACAAAGGTAAATAGTTATACAGATATAATTATATTTTAATTGTTTAAATATCTTTTATCGCACTTAGTTTATATGATTCTGCCTTGGCGTTATTAATGATCTCGATATTCGTTAATTCATTTAAGCTTCTTTTCCGTGTTGTTTTGTTTTTTTAGATAAAAAAAACTTAAAAAAAAAAAAAAAATCTTCACATGTTCTTGTATAATTACTTTTTCAAAGTAAGATTTCATTTTCCCAATCATCTCAAAGATTAATTTTAACAACACGATTTTTATTTAATGCGAGATCATTGTCTTTATTTATCTTTTTTCTTGCAGAGAAAGAGAGAAAAGTGTAAAACTGTAGATAAATTTATTTCATTTAAAGGTATATTTTCTTTAGAAACAAATAAAATGCAGAAATAGAATTTCCGTCACCGTTTTGTGTCCATAATGCATAAACTTAATATTTCGTTTAATATTTTTGTAG